TTTTCTGTATTTACTCAGCCACCAATATCTTGTTCTAAACAACTATATACAGATTTGCAAAACATAAGCGAGGCCCAGAGTTTAAGAGCTTCCATCATCTTCCCAGAGAACAGGGTTTAAAAGAGACAGGAAATACACAATGTCATTGAGAGAGGTAACGGCAATAACCAACTAGGTCCAAAAAGTTGGTTTTTTGAAACAAGGCTTGCACAGGAGTTGGTAGAAAGGGGGGAGAGTTAGAGAAGCCTCTTCAATTATTGTAGACTTTCACCACTGCACCGCATTACAGAATAAAAACTCTACCGTGGATCCTACATACCTCCTTTATGACCCTTAATTCCACAGATGTTACAGTCCCCCTTCAGGGAACACAAATCTGACTCACAACAGATTTGAGAAACCATCCCAATGCGATTTCCAAAGTGAAGCAAGAGATCAGAACTTTAAAAAAAAGTAAGAATAAATACCCAAAACAACCTCCTGGTAGTGGAGATGCCAGGAAAGCAGCTAAACCTAGTCCATAAAGAATAAGAAAACCTACTAGGTTATGTCTAGAAAAGAGCACTTCAGGTCTTTTTTTGTATGTAAAAAATGATAAATAATCCCACAATGTATTGTTCACCTGATTGTTTCCTCAAAAAATAATTTAATCTCCACTGAACTATGCAGTAAGGAAGTAACATTTCATGACCCTTGCCTATTCTAGCCAAGCATCTTTTTCAGCTGCCATCACAAAAGGGAAATCTGCTCAGCTCCCCAGACTGTCTCATCTCATCTCTTCAACACAGGACCCCAAACTGCTGTTGACTCCTCTGAGCAGGAACATGGCACAGTCCACTCTCAGCACTGAGCTATTAAAGTAGAAAAAAAGCAAAAAAGCAGCTGCAGCATTTTACCAAGAACACAAGATGACAAAGGACACAAAGCTGTGGGATGTATCACAGCAATGCCTAAAAGAGAACTTAAAGCCCTCAATTCATAACCACCTTCTCTTTCAAACTAGTCTTCATCCTCTACCAGCTATGAAACTAGAGGACATGAAGAATAGAGGCAAAAGAGGAAAGAACAGAAGGGAGGGCTGCTTACAATGCGACTGTTTGTTCAGTTTTCTGATTTCCTCCTTTCCTCCCACCCCAAGTGTACTTCCATCAGCATGCTGCTAACTGATACAAGATTGTTTCTGGGAAACAGCCTTTTAATAATGTATCTATACAGCACTTTGTATCCAAGCACCATCCCACCTAAAACCATCAATCAAAATAAATACTACCCCTCACAGGCAAAACAGAAATACAGTACTGGATTGCAAAACAGGCAGGAAACTCATTAATATTCCCTTAAGGGCAGTAGGGGAAAGCACCAATTTCCATTCATAGAAGTATCACCCCTAGATGTAGCACAGAGGTCAGGAAGAAATTACAGTGCCACAGAAATACCCATATAAAGAACAGATCGGAGGGATACTGGAACAGAGTTTTAAATTGCTCCAGAGTAAGCCTGACTGTCAGTCTATTCCACTCAATCATTACAAGGGATGTATCTTGTCAGGTTTTGCTAATACTGCTTTTTAGAAGAACAGGGAGAGAGATGCAGGGGTTGCAGATGTATATATGCAAACCTAGACCAGCCAGAAGACTGCAGTAGAGCAGTAAAGATCAGAGCAGCTGCCAAGAAACACAGTGAAGACTGGCAGAGGAGTGCAGGTCAGAATAAAGGACTATTAAGTGCTTTGTTGCAAAGTAAACTTGCCCTGCTTTTGACTGCTATTCTGGATCCTGGCCTGTATGGGCTATTTCTGATTTTGGGGGTCATTGCAACTGAACCCTTAACAAGGGCACAGTAACAGCAGCATAATAAAGATTTTGGGGGGGGGTTTAATAAACCCACCAGGCAGAAGCTAGGAGGGAAGGGTTAAAGGTATGAAAATGAGAGAAAGAGATTCCTGTGACAGGAAGGAGCATGTGAGAGGGCGTGTGACAGGCTGTGTAGGAGAATGTGTGTGTAGATCTCATTCCCTCTGAGGCCCTTGGCCAAATGTGGAGCTGAACTTTCTGCAGACTTTGTCCTGCCAAGTCATGTTCCCTTCTCACACTGCCTGACATCACCACAAATACTCAGCTGGAAAACAGTCCAGAGCCGGACAGAGTCCACTGCTCAAACACCAGCCAGTGAAATGGCTGCACTCACGGCACACCCACCAGTGGGAAACCAGAGCCACTGGCTCTCCTCACAGGTTATCTCCAAGCACCCAGGAGGCCTCACCCTCATCCTTGCAGAAAGAGAGCCCTACCAAGGCACAAAGGCAGTGGAGGTGCAATGATTTCCTATTGCCCCAGTAACACAGCCCAGAACAAACTGAAAGTCTGCACAAAGGCTCCAACGCAAAAAAGCAAAAGCACGTAACCATCAGACCACGGGAGTCTGTCACAAGCATCATGCTGCAAGGAACCCAATCCATTCCCAACTCTGAAACATTCCCTGCCACAAGGAGAAGGAAGCCATCACACATGACCCACAGACAAACAAGAAGCCAGGGATCCTGCAAAGACTGACACTCCAGCAGGGTCTGTATGAAGCCAGCAAGCAAACAAATGCGAACCCAAGATCAGGGCTGGAAAATGCGAGCACACATACAAGTGCGCGGGAGTGGGCAATGGGGCTAAGCCAACAGGCGGCTCCATTTCTTATTTTGATCCTTGTATCAAGCGAGAAGGGTGTGGATGGCCTGCAGATTCTGGGACACTGCTAAAGGCACCACCCAGAGCAAGTATCAGGGAGTAGCAGTTGAAGATGATACTGAAACAAGGGAGGACAAAGTCTATGATCTCTTCTTATTTTTTCTTCAGCCTTCACCCCAGGCTGCTGCTTAAAAGTAGCACAACAGAAAATGCCCTCAAAGTATAGGTGATAGGGAGACAACTGATGTTCTCCTCAGACAAAGGCTTCTCCTTTCTCCACTCCTGTTTAGAAGGACAAACAGCAACTTGGGAGCTTTCTACAGTCCAAGGGAAAATTTTTCTTCAGCCCCATATAGGCCAGAAAATTACATCTCCTCTTCTCAGACACAGTCAGATAACAGAGACTACATTATATGATTTATGGTTATTTTACCTCTAATATTTTAAAACTTTATTCTACATTTTAAAACACTCCTCACAACAGGAGTTCCCTCTTCCTTTGCTAAGGGATTCTGACACCTTCCTAAAAGGGGGAACAGTGCAACCTTGCCCATCCACATGCTTTAAATCATATCCTTACCTAGGGTTTCCTGCCCAGACCTGCAGATGCCTGAGAATCTGTCCACCTCATCAGCTTTAAACACTAAAGCCCATCTTTGGAACTTCTTCCTGGCCCTTTCACGGGAAACAGAATATTATTCCTCTCCTACAGAAAATAGCCAAGGGTGGGAAGCAGACAATCAGGAGACCAGAATGACAAAGTTGGTATTTGAAGGCCACGTGAGAGCTTCTCCTTCTACTCTCAGAGCTTGCAGCTGAGTGAGCTGCTCTGCCGTGGTGGCACTTCTCATGCAAGCCAAAGCAGCCTGGTGAGGGCTGCTCACAGGACTCTGTGTGTGCACGTGTGCCTGCACGTCAAGGCATGCACCACCACAGCAGGTCTCAAAGGCCGTTCCGGTGCAAGTTGCCGTGCCCACACAAAGTTGCCTGTGAGTTTCTGACAGTATGTGCACAAAAAGCCACTAGATGTGCCTATCTAACAGCCTGACCATGGGAAGTCCTCCAGGAGAAGTCACTGGCAAGGTATGTGGAGTCCTTTGGGGGCTGGCACATTTCTGCATGTATGTCCCTGGCAACCAAGATACACTACAGAGCTTTTGTAGAAGCCTACCTCTTTGCCCTCATTTCATAGGGGCCCTAGGAGAGACTATTTAAATTCCAAATGTTTTCCTTTAAATGGATTTTACACACAGTTTTCAAGATTACACTTGTTCAGTTTATTTTCCAAATTAATGGCAATTTATGATAAAGTCTAAAACAACCATTTAAACAAACACAGGCGTCCCCTGTTCAAGCTGGATGGCTGCTGGATGTTTAAAGAGTGTAATTCCTAAACTCAAGAAAGCCACTGAGTCTGCAGAACCAGAATCCACTGAAGTACAAAAGAGATCTTTCTTTAAAAGGCAGAAACATTAGTTTCTTCAATTCACTTATAAAATTAGTTCAGTTCACTCAAACCTGGGGGAGGCAGCATGAAATGGGTGGGAGGTGTCTCTCTCTTCCAGTCTCCAAAGAAAAACAAGACAAGGGACAATGAGTTACGCTCATTGTAAGATCTGTAAGGACACAATCACCAAAACCAACCAGTTCATTTCATTCTGCTAAGTACAGATAACACTACCCTGATAGAGTAAGTCAGATTTAATAGCACACACTTCAGCAAGTATATTTCCTCTTATGTATGCAGTGCATGATTTGTGTGACTAAAGTACAATTATAAAAAAGGGGCACATTTGATTTGACCTCTTCATGCAAATGCAGTTTTGTACAAGTCACAAAGAAAGAAAATCACCTAGTAAATACAAATGACCATTTTGTAATGTAAACATTTACTGTGAAATAATACCATAAGTGGATGCACATAGACAGACTGTATTGTCCTGTTTTGCAAGAAGTATTACTAGGTGAGCCTAACCAATTAGATTAAAGCTTCCTTTTAACAAAGTATCAAATGCAAGCTTAAATGAATTATTTAAATCACTCACATTAATCATGCTTTATATCAGCAAGTGGGAAGCCTTGATTTAAACCAATCAACCTTGTTTGCCTCATAGCTGCAGCAAGACCAGCAGGCCAAAACTGCCCCGTTCCCTGGAGGAAGATGGGATACAACTCCGTGCCCTGGAGTTGGTTTCCAGAAATCTTACGAGTGTATTTGCCAATATTTTTTTAAAACCTTAAAACAAACTAGAAAGCCTTACATTCCAGGAGACACCTACTCTCTTGTCAGTCACGTGCTTCGGCAATCAGTCTGATACTCACCTAACATCTTATCTTTACATCTCGGAGAGGTTTCTATGAGCACACAATACAACCTGACTCTGCAGCATGGCTTTTAAATTGCTTCAATTCTCGCATCCCACGAGGTAGTTCTCCTACTTAATCCTAGAGACATTAGTTTTGGCCTGTTCAAAACAAGAATTAGATTTCTTATGCTCTAACGTTTTCTTTTAATTTTGTCAACAGCTTCCCACTAAAACATTTATCTGTTCCCCTTATTAAACCTACTGGGAAGGTCTGCAGTGCTCTGCTCTCCTCTATTAGCCTTTGCCCTCCCCAAATAAGATACTTAAAGGCTTGATAATGTTTACTTCAAAATTATTTATGGAATAATACTGAAATTGAGTATATCACCTTAAGGTTTTCTTTTTGACACTCAATTTTTGACACTCAAATTTTACCTTACAGGAAATAACAGTTTTGAGATCTCCAAACCTAAGGTACAAGCTGCAATAGCTCCAGGGGTGTCTCCTTTTTAGTGAGGACACATGAAAGGAATTTGTATATGATCCAAAAATGGAAAAAAGGTATTTTGTCCTGAGCAGGAAGTCACAGAACAAAAACAACACAGGAGTGCTAAAGTAAGCCATTGTACCATTTTTAATTGATAAATTTTTAAGGTCTGACTGAACATGGACAGCCTCTTTTAACAGTATTATACACATCTCTCAAACGCAAAGTAACTACAATACAGCTTCTACCTGCAGTAACCACAATGAAAACGGTAAGTCAAATGTACTTGTATATTAGCAGAAATATGATCTAATGACAAAGTTCAACCTGTTTGCAGCCTAAATGCAGACCTGTACCTGTCAGCAGGAAGCACTCCCCTAATTCCCTCCTAAGATTAAGTTCTTTTCCACTAAGACAATTTCCACAGCCAAGAGAATGCAATTCTGCCTTCCTAAATTATTAGGCTGTAAGGAAAACAAGGTAACTTACCTTACTGCAGACCAGCAGAATGTTTTCCCCCAGAGAAACAAGATATCTTTGTACAGAATCATAAAATGGTTTGGGTTGGAATGGCCTTAAAAATCATCTAGGTTCAACCCCCCTACCACAGGCAGGGACATCTATGACAGGCTTCACCTCAGTTGTGGAAGACCGATGTTTCTCCAAGACTGTCAGGTGTGTCAATCTTATTACTGGTGGGGGAGGGAAAGGAGGGAGACTGACAAACAATCTGATAAGCTTTCCTATTCAACATGCAAAGACCCACGCATCTGCAACAATGAGACTTTCACAGCAGCTGCTTCCACAGCAGAAAGCAGGATCACCCTTCAACGCATCTAAGACAAAGCACATAATATTCCATACTCTCCCTTAGGCAGATGAGCAGATGGGGTCACTTCTGAAAAACAGCAACAGTTAAAGATCTTATATTCTAAACTTAAAATTTTAAAACCTGTCAATCTTGATAGCCATACAAATCACAGACCAGATCTAATTACAAGAGATATGACTTTTGAGCTCTGAGACTGTCACCGCTCGATCAAACATTTAACAACAACAAAATATTAATCCTTCTGTTTACCACAGAACAAGCGCACGGAGTTGCGAGGACTAATCCGAGAGAAAGGAAGAGAAAGTCATAGCAATCAAATGCACTTTAACGCCCTGGAAACATGACTCTTCCTGCAGGTGTGAGACAGGGATGGAGATGGGGATAAGGCAACAAAAATGCTCTGTACTTGTAGGGCTGCACGCCTGTCCCACACACCCTCTGCCTGCCTCCCTCCTGCACAGCCAGCTGGTAAGGGAAACATGCTGACACGGCACAGGGAGCTGCAGCAGCAGTAACTGGAAACAGCCAATGACCGTAACCCAAGGCACACTGCCAGGACACACTAATTCTGCAATAAAGTTTCCTGCCTCTGTTTTTTTTAGATTAGGCAATTTATATACATATATATATATAGTCCCTGCTATGGTACTTCTCCCTGCATCCCTTCACAACACGAGTAGCTGCAAGTTTCCTCTGGCAGCTACAGAACCTCCGAGCATCTCTGCAATGACCCATGTTCTATCCTACCTGAGGCTGGTTGGGTTTATTTCCCCCATCTTTTATTTGGAGAGGTGGAAGAAGGTCGTTAAATATTTTTATCCCTGCTTTTCTCCAGCAAAAGGAGATGCACGAGCACATGCACGTATGAGAACGAGGTATTACCGCAAGTGATCTCAGAAGGGGTCACACCAGGAAGCCAGTCTGCCTTCAGAAGTCTTGAGGTAGCAGTATCTTCTGGTGAACGTGCCACAGGTGTGATAACAGAGCAGCGCAGCCAGGCCAAACTCCACCTGGTCCTGGCACGATGTGTACCACATCCGATGCCCTCTTTCCACAGCCCAAATGAAAGAAGGGTTGAGCTTAGCAACTCTTGGCTGAAGTTTTCAAATAGTTTTTGCTTTTGTAACTAAAAGGTAAGATACATTTTTCTGTTTCTATCCCAGCAAGGGGGTTATGGCTTGATTAAGACTCACATAATTAAAAAATCAAGACCACTACTCACTAGAAGAAGAAAAAACAACTTTTCCTTCTGTTTCTACTCAGGTATAGCCTTCTCTCTGACACCCAGGGAACAGCAGATACTCCACACACCTTGGAACAAGCAGCAGATCTGAGAGGACTCTTCCCTACAGACAAACATAACCTGCAGTCATAGCCAGAAACTGTCTGACACACAGTGATCCAAACGGTTAGTCAGAAACGTGACTCAGTGTCAGAGACTCCCTCAAGAAAAGCCTTGTAAAGGAAGGGCCCAGCTGTCCCTTTAGGAAAAAGAGCGGAAGAAAGTTTCAGGAGACAGAGCACTTCTCTTTGACCCATGATCCAAGGTTTACTTCCAGTCAATACCTGTCTTGACAAATCTGTGGACCTTAGCACCCTGAGCGTCAGTGAAATGGCACAATGAAGAGTAATCACCAGCGTAAGCAAGGCTACCTTTTAACAGCACTGTGCAAACTGACAGCCATCCAGACAAGTTTGTGTCCTATAAACCTCGCGATGTGGGTTGACAGGATGCAACAGGTGAACGAGACAGAGAAACGAAGTGCTGAGCGGAGGAGAGGAGAGCTAACAAGTTACCACAAAGCAAGTAAACATCTGACAGCACTTCCGGAGACAACAGACAGAAATCCGGGCTCTTCAGATGCAGGATAACAGCACGAGAAACTGACACCCCTCCCCAGACACCTCCGACCTCCTCAGCAGAGGGACCCTCTCCGACGGCGCGGCCGCGCAGCTCCCGCCAGCACAGACCGCGCACGGCGGCGGGGACAGCGCTCCGGACCCGCGCCGAGACCGACCCCTTCCCTCCCGCCCGCGGGGCTCGCTCGGGACCCGCCGCCAGCCCGGCCCGCACCCCGCCAGGCCCCGGGCGGCTCGACGGGACGGGCCGCCGCCGTCCCCCTTCCTTTCCAGCACCTTCCAGCGCCGCCCGGCCCGGGCCGGCCCGCCCGGCAGCGCGACGCGGACGGGCGGCGCTACAAGCCGGCCCCGGGTCCCGGGGAACGCTGCGGCCGCTCGGGCCGGCGCAGGCCGCGGGGCGGGACAGCGCGGCCCCGTCCCCCGCCGTGAGCCTCGGACACGCGGGGCGGCCCCGCGGGCGGCGAGGAGGCGCCGCCGCCCCCGCGACCGGAGCTGGCGCGATGAGTTACCGGCGCGGGCCGCGGCTCCCGGCGATGCGCGGCCGCCGCCGCCCCCCGTGGCGCAGGTGCCCGAGCCGCGGGCGGGAGGGGCGGCTCGGCCCGGCACTGTTCCCGGCACTGTTCCCGGCACTGTTCCCGGCGCCGCGGCGGAGCTGCCGTGATGTCACGCGGGCCTGGGTCACGTGCAGGCCCCGCTCCGCCCCGCGGGTCCGGCGGGACGCGACAGCTCCGCGTCCCCGGCGCCGTCCCAGCGCTGCCGAGTTACCGGCGCCTGGAGCCCCGTGCCCCGCGCTCACCGCCCTCGGCGCAGCCCGGAGGAGCGGAGCGAAACCACCGTGACCAGCAGCAGAACAATCCCAAAGCAGGTGCCGCAGGAACTGCGCGCACTCCGCCTCCGCGGAGAACCTTCTCTTTCCAGCACCCGCCACGAACCTCCTCTCACTGGTGCGGTATCCGCAAAAAAATACAACCACGCGGCTTCGTGCTCTCCTAGAGATACGAAATAGAACTGATTAAAATTCACCAAGCATTCGAGCATGAGCAAATTAAACACGTCTGTCCAGCTGAACTTCGTGTATTGCACCAAGCCTGCCCTGACATAACCCCTGTGCTTCATGAACGATTTGGCACTTAATAAGACCTTACGCACAACTTCTAATGCTGCAAACTACAGAAAGTTTTAAGCATATAAACACGTACAAAAGAGCTGGGTTTTGAGCCATTGGGCTTCATTGCTACAAGATTTCTTTGCAATCGCGAGAGCCATGTTTCCTTCTTTTCTTAAAAGAGAGAAAGCTAAGAACCCCACTACTAAATGGAGACGAGCACTAAATATCACTAAATTCGCTTAACTGTCTATGATTTTCCCCTCTATTTACACGACACCTACTGGATCCTCGGCCAACGATCCAGCGGACGCACACCCGGCAGCAGAAGCTGGATTTCATCTCACACTCGTCTAATTCCACCAAGCTTCGTAAGGAACTACCAAAACCGGGCAAAACACGCCAATCCTGGGCAGCCTCTTTGCCAAGAGCCAAAAGCAGCAGCAGCAGGGTTCCAGTTCCACACAGACAGGCATCCTCAGGCTGACCCGAGGGCACCTTCCCTACTCCTCCTGCCCACGAGGAGTTTACCCAGGAACGCACGGACGGTTGTCAGGACACCGTAAACCCCTTTTGTCCTAGAGCAAGGCCACGGCGAGAGAAGGAAAGCAGCGCTTTATTCGCGGAGCCGCAGCGCGGTCGACACCGCTGCACCCTCGCTCCCGACCCGCTCCTACCGAGCGCCTCCGTGGCCGCAGCCCGTGACAAAGCCGACAGCAAAGCTGGACGCCGCCACGGCGGCGGGCTCGGCGCGGCTCCCCGCGGGCCGAGCGGGGCCGTCCCGCCCCGGGATCCTCCTCCTGGGGGCGGGCGCGGCGCCGGGGCCCGCTGGGGCTGTGCGCTGGGAAACCGCGTCCGTTCGGGCCCGCGGCCCGCCGCGCTGCGTTCCGGGCGGTGCGAGCGCCATGGCGGCCGCGCGGGGCGGCGCTGTCCTGGTGCTGCTGGCGCTGTGCCTGCGGCCGCCGCCCGCCCGCGCGCGGAGCCTCCGCTTCGTCACGCTGGTGAGGGCAGCGGGGGGCGCCGGGGGGGCGGCCGGGCCGGGCCGGGCCAGGGGGGCCGGGCCGGGCCGGGGTGACGCGGTGCCGCCCGCAGGTGTACCGGCACGGAGACCGCTCGCCCATCAAGACCTTCCCGCGGGACCCGTTCCAGGAGAGCGCCTGGCCCCAGGGATTCGGGCAGCTCACGCAGGTGCGATCGGGTCGGGGCGGCGGGGCCGGGCCGGGGGCCGGGCCCGTCGGTAACGCCCGGTGCCGTTGCAGGTGGGGATGCGGCAGCAGTGGGAGCTGGGCCAGGCCCTGCGGCGGCGCTACCGCGGCTTCCTCAGCGACACGTACCGGCGGCAGGAGGTCAGTGTCGGCCCGGCGCTCGGGGCAGCGGCGCTCTTGGCCGCCCCAGGGTGCGGGTGGCTTCTTCGGGAAGGCAAACGCCGCCGCTGGGCCGCGTCTCCAAGTGTTTTCGTTCCTTAGCCCGTTCCCACCGCAGCAGGAGTAAGAAGAGGGGCCCGAGCGCAGAGTCTGTGCTGAGCCTGGCCGCGGGGCGCGGATCGGCCGTGTCTCAGCGCTGTCCTTGCTGCGGGAGCGAAGGCAAATCCGGCCAGAGCAAATCCAGCAGCTGCAGCACCGCTGAGAGACTGATAGAGCCGCCCTCTCTGAAGTCCAGGGAACAAAACAGCAGTGCTGTGTCGTAGTTGGTACTTGTTTCTCACTCGAGAGTTTGGGACTTTTTTTTTTTTTGTCACAGTAGCTCACAAGAATGCAGCCCGTGTTGGCCCTGCCCTCCCCAGTGCACTTCAGATACAACTTCACCAGTCTGTACATATAAGCAGTAGTTACTGACCAGAAATGACCCTGTCATTTGCTTCTACCTGTAAGGTATTGACAGCTTCACTCCCCTAAAGCTGTTAATTTCTTTCTCTGTCACCAAATGTTGCCACACTTTGTAATAGTTGAGAAACTGCTAGGTTTCTTTTGAAAAAAGTTACATAGCCCTTGTGGAACCATGTGCCGAGCACAGGGGAAAACGTGAAATATCAAAAAAAGTAAGGAAATAGAACCACCATCCGCAAGTACCCCTGCTGTTACTAAGAATCCCCATACAATTTTCTGTCTTTGTTTCTTCCCTATAGGTCTCCCCAGTGAGAACCCAGCTTGACATAGTTCAGATTACATCGCTTCTTTGACATTTGCTTCATCAACAAAACTTCCAGCATTGGCTACAACACAGATCCTTTAACCTTCCTTTCCAAACATACTTCACTCTTATACAGCTCTTGCGAGTTGAAACTATTTTCGTTCTCTTGCTCGAGAAGGAAAAACAAACCAAGGCATGTGCAAACAAAAGCTGTTCTGCTAACCAAGCCTGAACTCCTGCTTGAGTTGAGCAACCTCCCATGTAAGAAGTGTTGCCTCTGGGTGACACCATATGACCGTTTGTCACCTGACTCAGCGACAAGCTGGAGCCCTAGCAGAAGGTGCTGAAGAAAGCATGTACACCCACGGCTTAATTGTTTTTTTACAACACTTCAAGAATTAGATCCTTATCTTTTAAAACATTACCGTTTTATTTCTTCAGAATTTACCAAGGATGAAAGCAAACCTGTCTAATGACTGCAGGGTCGTTTTTTTCAAGCCACAGTTTAGAGGTGAAAGTGGGTAGAAATTGATGTTGGAGAAAAGACAAATTTTTTTTTTCTTATGACTATTAAGTTCTGAGATACACTTCACGTGAGAGATATTACACATATTTTTTCATGTAATTGTATATATTTTTTCTTATGTTTCTCCTAACATTTAAAAAAATCCTTATATTTACATTGTATTTCATTCTTTGGGCTTTCTATTCTTGTTTCAGATTCAACATGCTGTTTTCTAGGACATTCTTTTATGATTTCCTGTTGATCCTCTTATTTTATCACTGGTTTCTCTCCAGTCTCCCCTTAACTGTTTTCAATACACAGATACCAGAATACTAAAGTTTTGCCATTTTGACCTTCTGAACATTGCTTTATTTTTCCCATTTCTCTTTATTTCTGGCTCAGATATCTCTCATCTGAGCTCTGGAATTATAGGTCTTGGCCCATTAATCCCAAGAGACTACAATTATCAGATAAAAAACCCAGCTCTCCCTTTCTTTCTTCCTTTCCTAGTCAGATCACTCATCTTCATTTCTCAGACAGAAAAACTGAGGTTGGAGAAGCCATTTTTTTTCATGGGCACAGCTGGTCATTCCTAGAACCGAGAATTGAATGCAGGAGCTTGCCTCAGCCCTGGTCTGTAAATACAGCGCATTTCCTATCTGTGCCTATTGTTGTATGCACCTCTGTCTTGCTCTTCTCTGACTCGTCTTCTTATTCAGACTCCTCTCTATCTGTAACCTCTGCACAGCGCACCTGGCTATCCCACTGTCCAGACCAGACCACTCCAGTATTACACACCAAAGTGTCTTTGTGTCTGTCCTTACAGTTTCGTACAGGCTGACATCAGCAGACTTGGTCACTTCAACTCCTGTTATCCTGCTGTCCTTGAGCAGGTGCAGGGCACTTGGCAATGCTCCTGGCTGAGTGTATGGTCCTGTGCCCGAGCATTGCCACCACAGTAGCGTCACTAATGGTGCGTGTCCCTGTCCTGGCAGATCTTCATCCGCAGCACAGACTGTGATCGGACACTGATGAG